AAATTAATTCTAGAATTCTAAAAAATTATATTTTTAAAAATTTGAAATGTTATTTTGAAAATTGATGCGCATTGGAATAATTTATATATTGATAATCAAATGTTTTATTTATTTATTTGCATTATAAATCTTGTAATGTATTATTTTTCTTACAGTTGTCAATAATACATTTTAAATTAAATGATATTAATAAATATTTTAAATTTGCGATTATTTATATAATAAAATATAAACCAACAATTTTCGCTGCAATAAATAATATTATAGTTAGATAGGTTTTAATAATTTTGGATTATAGTTAGTTAGGTTGCAATAATTTTGGATTATAGTTAGTTAGGTACTAATAATTTGGTTTTCTTTTCTTTTTTAGTGGATTAGTTTTTTCTGCCAAATCGAAATTTTAGTGGTCATTTTTTATCAATTTAATCCATTATTTATTGTAGTCTATGTATGATTCTATACTTGATCCATGATAATTCGATGTTTTTTGTTTTATGTGATGCAAATTTAATAGTTAACATAAGTTCATACAGGATAAGAACATCTTAATTAGTCACAAATTGATTAAAAATGAAAGTTAATAATTTAATATCCGTATTTCTTATTGGATTCTTAAAAAAATAACATTTATAATCAATTTTCATAATTTTTTTGGATTTCTTTTTAAGGTTTAATAAGACCGATTCGGCCAATTCCCGATCCAGATCGCCGATTCACCGATCCGGATGGATTTTTGAGGTGCCCAATCGGGGCACCGATCAGTTTTTTAAACCACTTGTTTACATGCATATTTAATTAATGATCCATAATTATTATGCATATAGATGATAATTTAAAACAAAATTAATTATTTTTCCTTATCTCTGCTTAAGATATTTATTACTAATAAATATTGCATTGATATATAAGATGAGTTATTATGAAAAACGGTTGACAGAGAATCTCCTTAGCACGCACCGATCTCTCTCCCCCTAATTAGGAGGTAGAATAATTGGTTGTCCTACGTTTATCTCTTTCTAAGATATAGATAAAGAGAAGTTATAATGACCCTAATTAGGAAATAGAACAAGTGGTTGTCATTGTTTTATCTCTTTCTAAGTTATAGATAACTGATAAATAGTTCATTAATAGATAAGAGGAGTTATTATGAAAAATTGTTGAGAGAGAATCTCTTAGTATCTCTTTTTCGTTTTAGGAGATTGCTCTCTTTTTTTCCCTCTCTTTAAAGGTGGGAATATCTCTTACAACCTCTAATAAATTAATGTTTTTTTTTATTTTCGCAACATATGTCTACCCCTTAATTTTGCTTAATAATGTAGTGTAGATATTGTTTTTTGTCCGCCCAATATTTTGCCCCATAAAGCAGATAATTATCCTGTCGAACTTGCCCTTCAGCTTCATATGTATGCGGCAATCACATAAAATTCCAGTTGAACATCTTCAATTCACCCACCCAGCTCTAATTTTGTGTGTCACATCTTCCGCACTTTCTCTATTTTCCTGAATTATCGATCCAAGATATCGAAAGTATGGTCTCTCCCGTGGAAATATAATGTTTATTTACTCTATGGAGTAAAACCACCTTTAGAATTAATTTTAGTACCGCAAAATTTATGGATATAACATCTTCAATCCCTAGATTTATCTTAATAAAAAAAAAAAAAATTTATAATTGTACCTTCTATACACTTGAAAAAATAATGTCTCATAATAGAGACCATCCAGCTTTTAGATGGTGAGATATAAGTATTGAAAAACTCAAATTTCCAAAAAAATAAATAAATAAATAACTATTCAACTAGTTATTCTTTAATAATTCCCAAAATTCCAGATCACAAAAATCCTTGTAAGTAGGTATTTTGACAATGGGTCCCGAGGAACCATAATATACGAGCTCAACGGATTAATTTTTCAATAAATTCTGCGCGCGATTTAGTCAAATAGGAGCATGACTATTGTGGCTATGTTTTGGTTCTTTTCTAACTTGGGGCGCTCTTTCTTTTAAAAGAATCATTGTTTTTCAGGACAATGGCAATTAGTCACGCCTGGACTCCATTTTCTCTTTCAACAGTCAACAGTGTGGACCCCAATTTGGTACGATTGGCCAATGTTAGTTTAATTTTGTGTTGAAGACATTGAGCCAACCATTGTGACAAGTATTTGACGGTTCGGATTATTCCTTACACAACGAGTCATTTCTACCGTCCACACAAAGGATTTTGAGAATCAGTTAGATTTCTCTCTCTCTCTCCTTTTCTCTTCTTCTTCTTTCTTTCTTCTTCTTTTTTTTTTTTTTTTTTTTTTTTTTTTTTTTGAACATAAATAATAAAGACAATTTGTGAATAGCTTAAGGCTTTACCAACCTAGTGGTTAGGATGTCTGTATAGAATTTCAGATGAAACATCAATTTAGAATCGTTCGAGTCAGATCAAAAATAGAACTTGGGCTTTGAAAAACCCTTATTCTCATGGTTTTGTAACTATTTTTTATTGTTGTTCATCATTCATATGCCAAATCGAAATTGAGAATTTGACTTAGAGTTTGTTTTTAGGGCACGTTTGGTATATATATGAAAATATTTTCAAGAAATTATTTCCATACCCTTCATGTGATTCGGTGTAGAATTTTTTTTCCACCAATTAATCCGAAGGTATCCTTTCACAGAAATTGATTGCCAATTGGTATGAAAAAACTCCTCGACTTTGACACATAGGGGAGTTCTTTAATGTAAAATACTTTCACAAAAATATTTTTACTTGCAGTAAAAGTGCCGTTAAGGAACTAATATGGACAACCATGAACAATAGGGGTCGAGTCGGGTCCTTGTCCGGTCGGACCGAACGCAAAAAAATGACATAGGACCTGGACCTGACTGGACTCAAACCCAGACCCAAAAATATAGTGTGGGACCCGGACCAACCCATAAATTAAAATATCTAACTATATTTAAATATATTTCATGTATTAAGATCCAAAAAATATTACTGGACTCAATCGGGCCTAAACATAAACCCCAATAATATTCAAGTCCAAGATTTGAACCATACCCTAACCTGGCTCAGGCTTACCCCTGGGTCCAGGTCCATTCCCACCCCTAATTAACAAGCTCTATATGGCCAACTGGTTAACGTGTCAGGATCACCCCACGAACGTTCAAGTATAGAATCCCAACTTAACTTCTGAACGATAAAACATAAGGAGCAGCGAAATAATAATACCAAGTCTTCAAACTTCTGAACAACGTCAACAAGATATGGTTTTCAATTCAATTAAGTAGTAATGCAGAGGTGATAAATTCTCTCTTGAGGCTCTTAAACAATGATAATAATATTGAATCTCACTAAATAATTGAGACGTACCTTTTTCCATGATCAAATGTTTGACTCTAAATTTTTAGTAAAACATTGAACAACCTCTATACGGGAGGAGGCATCCAATAATGCAGACTCGGAAAGAAACAAGCCGACACCGATTCTGCGATACTGCTCGCAACACGTGTGCACTCCGAGATTAATTAATCAAATATCATCCACTGATTAAATATAATCCTGGTTCATTCTTCGGGAGAAATTATTCGAGAAAATGATTCATCCTACTTTCAAAGATCCTATCTGCCTGGAGTCACGGTCTTCGGTCGTAGGAAAACCGGAATCGATTCCGAGATTGTTAATATATTTCAAAATTCCGGCTGCCTCCTCACTTGAGGGTTATTATTGTGCAAAATAAATGAGACACTACTGACCTTTCATTTGACAAACCAATGAATCTCAACAAACTCTCTCAATAATGAAAGGTTCGCCCAAAAAAATCTAAACAAGTGAAAAGATTGAAGACAAAGGGCACTTTTGTTATTAAGGGATGCATTAAAAGTTGAAGAAAGTAATATGTTTTAAAGGAAAATATATGTATTAAAGGAAATAAAGGGGGAAAAGGGTGAAGAAGAACCCAATACCCACTTTGGATTAAGGGAATGGACGGTAGGGTTTACACGTGAGGGATCCCCAAGAGCAAGGATTATTTTATGTATAATCATGCTGCAAAGATGCAAAAGTAAAAGAGAGGATTGAGAAATTTGTGCATTTTATTTGGGAAATGAGCTATATAAACCAAGCCCATGAACCCAAATTTTGCAAAACAAGTGCTCTAGTGCAAGACTAAAGCTGCTCGCTCTACAGTTCTTCACAGAGTTTGCTGGGGGTGTAAACTGAATCAAAGGTATGGTGTTCTCGATTTTTTTTCCAGTCCGGTAAGATTTGGGATCGTGATGATAATGAATTGAAGATCATGGCTTCCATTCTGACAAACGCATTCGAAAAAAACAGACTCGTTCCGAATCTACCAATTTATTTTTTCCCTCTAAGTATGGTCTTGAGTCAATGAGTGTTGAGTTATAATTAGGAATTTGGTTTGAACTTTTATCAGCATTTTTATTTTGTCTTCAATTCTAGAGATTGGGTTGGTTTTGATTGGGGTGATGGATTCATTGGACTCTCTTTTTCACTCCAGCCGATGACTTTCTCTCTCTAGGTTTCTCTCTAAAAGTGTAGAGAGATAAGGAGGGATGAATGATGTCGGAAAGGAACGGGGTCGGTATGGGGGTCGCAGGGAAAACCCACAAAGAGTGGTAGGCCCGGTCGTTGACATGTCACACGTCTCGGGTCTTTACACCACGTGTGTGGGGGCTTAATTGTGCAACTTGAGCTGCTTCAGCCTATATATATATCCACGCAGGACTAAACATTTCCACACATTCACACCATTCCTCTCTCTCTCTCTCTCTCTCTCTAGTATTCTTCTCTCTCTAGTCTCTTCTCGTCGGTGTGCGTCTCGTCGGTCGGTCGTAGTAGTTACTTCGTACGTTACGTAGTAGAGTAACGTAACGTACTACGTACTAA